GATCGTACGTTAAAAATGCTTTTATCACATGAACGTAGCAGCAGTTTAGTAGCAGTAGAGCTTCTTGTGAAAAATGAGTTCGTCCAGTAAGTCTGGCACAAATAAAATGCAAGTTGAATGTACTGTATTTCCAAAAATAACTTAAATTTAGACCTGCCGTTACAAGGGCTTTTGAGAGAAGAGAAAGAAAACAGTGTTGCCTGGCCAAAATAAAAGTGGAACGTTGCCATATTCTTAATTAGAAGAGACGCCACAACACAAACAAAGGAAACAAAATTAAAGAAATAATAATTAATAAACAAAATAAAAAATACAATAACATTTGTGCGGTTGTGACGTACGCAAAAAGACTTCATTCAGCATAAGCCACAGCCACAGCCCTGAGCCGAGATGAGTGACGGACGTGTGTGTCGCGAAAGAACTTACAATAAACTACTTAAATATTTAATTTTGTGTATATGTTTTTTGTAAGGGTGCTGGTGAAATTACAGGCACATGGGACTTGTCAACTTATGTCTTAAGGTGACGGGCGCAGTGGCAGTGCCCCTTAGATCTTTGCGATTTAAAGCACTAAGTGGCACTGCAACTGCTATGGACAGGCTTGTCGCTTTCCACAAGGCGTAAGATTTGTTCGTCCCGTCACTTGTTGTTATAAAAAAAAGAAGTCACTTGGTATCTAAAAAAAATACAGGCGCATGGGACTTGTTAAAAGTCGATATCATCATAAATGGCTTTGATTGATTCATAACAGCAAAAGCGTTGAACCAAGCACTTTGGAAAAAATATAATTGAGAATATACACTGATTAGTATACGGTGTGATATATCTTAGAAAAAAAACCACAAGCTTGCCTCGAAATTTTCCAAAAAAATCGCTGTATTCAATAGTATAATCTTTAAGATCCTCTCCTTAAAAGGTGTCATTTTGCAGATGTGGCTTTATTACAATAAGGTTGCTAAATTTAAACAAGGCGGCACAACAAAAATACTGCAAAATGTGAATGATTTTAAAGATTGCATGTTATATGGTGCTATTTATTTATAAGTGATAACTGCTTGTCGCTATTAAATGATCTCCCATTGCATATTCTATTTTAAGTGGTATTTTAATTCCTGTAAGAGATTTTATATTAATGTTTCTTTTGACTGTTAAAGCAACTGGCATTAAGTAAACAGCTATGGTACAATTTTTTGTGTGCCCCACTTCCCCACTGGAAATAAATCACGCAATTACTCAAGTAGCACTGTTAATCCGTGGATTTAGCCACCCTTACCCGGGTTATACAAATGGTTTCAATAAAAACAATCATATTTAGAGACTTTACTCCGTGTTCGCGCCATGAAAAAGAAGGGATGTTAGGGGCAATTTACACTAAAGCCATGATGGCCTGGTACCAGTACCGGCGTAAATTAATGGTGCGGTTGGTCATGAACTCATGACAAGGGTCACAAGCTGTCAAAATACTATATTTATTTTATTATTATGCATCAGACAATCACATCAATTGCCTGGTCTCATAATAGAGAATTCCTGAGTACCGGAGCAACGGAATTCTGGGGCACTTCCCAGAACACCCAGAAATTCTCCAAATTAGTACTACCGGGAATCGAAGCCGGGACCTCCGCATCCAGCGCCCACTATGTAAACCGTTAGGCCACCGAGGACTTCAAAATTAATTGTCAAAATAACAACCTTACCTGTTTGTATGCAACAACTGCCTCCGTGGTCGAAAGGTTACTGCCGGCCTGTCACGCAGAGGTCCCGGTTTCGATTTCCGGGCCGGGAGAAATACTTGTATGGCCTACATACAACTTTTCTCTTATTAAAGAGTCTACAAACCAAATTAGTCGATAACTTTTGCCGAAATGGGAGAGTTATGTACATAATTTTGTCCTACATGGACTGCTATATACAAGATAAATTATCACGCGGTTCTCGCATAGGTAACAATAAAAAGTACGCTCAGTACACAAGATTTTATTGTAGAAGTATAACAGGGAAAAAGTGAAGGAAAGAAGGAAGGAAGGTAACAAAACCAGGTACAATAATATAAAACCACTCCCTAGAGATTAGAACTTACTAGTTTATATTATTATACGATTAGTGAAGTTGCTCCAAAAGGGCCTGTATTCGTAAGAAATATATTGCTGCTTTAGACGCAGTTTAGGTTACATGATTAGAAACTCGCCTGCTCGCCTTGAGAATTTTGTATGGAGTGACGACGGAACGAAGCAAAGTAAGAATGGCGAAGAAAAAGAATTAGAGAACGATTCAAAGTTTCAAAAGTAAGTGACCAGGAACCAGAGAAAAGAGTGACAAAAAAGTGGTCGCATCGTCAGAAAGTGAGCTACGGGAAAAAATAAATGCCCATGGTTCACCCAGGTGCACTATTCAGGGAGGTCACATAAAGGGAATAAAATCTTATTTCTTTCTAGAAAAATTATTAACCTGCCAACTTCCATTCGGTACTCCAGCAAGCAAGCATAATGCGAGTGTTCCGTAATAAGCACTTATCATTTGTTTGTGTAATTGGCACGCGGCGGCGTGTGTACCATTGCGAGGGAGCGTATGAGTGATTTAGCATATGCTTTTGTTCACTGCGGGGTGTCATGTGGAGGTAGGGGAGGTGGTGAGTAATATATAAATATAGATATTAAGTGTAGCGATGTATTTTGATTTCAAATGGGAAAATTCTTTACAATTGTAAAGACAGAAGAATAGACCGCACACTAAAACGTTGTTCCTTTGAGGCGTAGTGCTGTATATTGTTTCAACATATCGACAGTTAAAAGGCGAATTAACTCAAACGACATTTTGGGCGATATTGATGATACGATATCGTTGGAATTAGCGATTATTTCCGCGTCTATTGATTTATGTTTCACGTTAATTGAATCACTTAATTACGTCCGATGAAATGTGATTCCGTTTGTTTTGTAATTAGATGTTTTGCTATTTTTCCCACACTACCGAATGGAACAGCCCCATAGTTAAATTATTATCTTTATTACAATAAATACATAATATTTTTTGGAATATACGGAGACGTACACACAGTCAGTTGTTGGCGCTGTAGGTACTATTTCAAATTTGTGATTTCAGCGCAAATGACAGTTGATATATAAAAGTGATATAAATACCATTTGCCTGATGAGTGGCCAGGGATGGATGGCCCTTACTTCGTCTCTATTTCTGGTTATATACTCGATGCTGGGAGCCTAATCTCGTTCTGCGTCCGACATCCATCCGAAACAATTACTGTCAAATAAGCAAGACTCGACCAAATGAAAACACAGTGTCAAGCATGAAGCTTCATTTGCATCACGCGGCTTGTAATTTCCATTTATATTATTAATTTACTATTACAGTAATTGTTTCGAACAGCAGCTTGATTTTGATTGCCTCTCCCGATCGGAAACTGCATCTTTTCCGAGTCGAGGGGCATAATTGCGATTCACAACTGGCCGCTCGGAAACTTTCGACATTTCAAATCGGAACAACAGTTGATTTAACTCACAAATCAGAAAAATATAGTTGGAATCGGAATTCCGATTTGAATTAAAATCAGTCTTCTGATGTGAAACGGAAACCGAGAGTACCTACAGGGCCTATTCAGTACCAGGTGAACAAAAAGATGTAGTACCCTACCTTGTAACCAGAAGTGGTGAGTCCAGCATTTCTCTTGGCAAGAACACACTTCATTCTGATAAAGAAGGCTCGTTCACACTCTATGTCCACCGTTGGGCCCCACGTGCCACCCACTGGATACCTGAAACAATTAATACCTGTATTTTTGTTGTTTATGATATTAGTCCTGTGACGTTGTTAGTATTTTACAAGTAATCCTTTATTTGTGGGATTACTAATATCTGAAAGCCTGCGTTATTATAATAGACTATGAGAACGTATCCAAATGTGTGAGTGAGAGGGAAGGTTTGAGAAGAGAGATAATATTATAACAAAAAACTAACCTCAATAGGTTGTAATACTCATGGAGAAGATTCCGAAAAATTTAAATGGTGAAAATTTTTCGGACAATTTCCCGAAAAATTGGAAAATTATAATTTCGAAGGTTCGTGCTATGTTCTGCGTTTAGAAATCTTTTGAAGTTTTATTTTGCGTGAATTACATATTAATTTTTTTTTAGAAAAACAAGAATTAATATGATTTACCAGCAGCGAAACGAAATCGTTTAATTGGCTTCATCGTTTTCGTTCAGTAACTTCAACTTTTGACATGTGTCAACGTCAAATGTAGAAAATTGAAGGAAAAATATTGGAAAAATATCCGGAAAAATATTATTTTTTTCAAAATGGACATTTTTCCGTGACCCAACACTAATTTGAAATCAGATAACGGAAAGTGGTGGAAATCCAATAAACCGGATTCATATCCTAATTTGACAATCTTGGAGGCAGAACATTTTCTTAAAATTGAAATGGCACTACTAGTGTGGCACCCCCTTCATAACAAAAAAAGAATCATCGAAGTAAACAAAACAAAAATACAATCCATCAAGCAGTAATGTGAGCATTACTGCGTTCCGGTTTTGAAAGGTAAGGGTGCTGGTGAAATCACAGGCACATGGTACTTATCAACTTATGTCTGAGGGTGACGAGCGCAATGGGAGCGCCCCTCAGACCTTTGCGATTTTGGACAGGCGAGTCGCTTTCCACCAAGCGCACGACTTATTCATCCCTAGAGGACGTTACCTTCCTGATTTGTTTTATTAACGATATTCAAGGAAGTTGGAGGAAACTAGTTTCATCACAGACCATCTTTAATTAAACCACATATAAAGTTCAAAATTGCTAGTGGATTTTAATCGTCGTAGTCCTTACCCAATGGTGGGATATTGGTGTCCTAGATATGAATGTGGGTGTTGTAGGCTGAGAACCGCATTCATTTCTTCGTGATCTGACTGGTGTATGTATTCATAAATTGAATTCCCTGTCAGCTCCACCTGTGAAATAAATAAATTCGATTATGTAGTCTTTCGTGAACAAATCAATAATTATAATGTTGATTGTAATGAATGTTGCATTCATGAACAAAATGAGTGAGGAATTTCCGGGAAAGTCCGAAGTCACGATTGGTCGTTATAACACTTGCTCGAATTTTTTGTTAAACATATTAGAAAAGGAACATAACTTAAATTTTTCTTTGCGGCATCTAAATGTCATGCAAGAAACAATTACGTTATATATATTTATATATTCGTGATTACGAAAATTTGAGCACGTCATTTCGGGCAAATGTAATTTCGGACTTCAGATAGGTTATCGTGTTTTTAGTCTCTGATACTTTTCGATCCAGGTCTATGTGGCGATTCCATAAGCTTTTTCCACTTACTTGACTAAGTCCAAGGTGTACAGACGCGGTCTCGCTGATGTACATAATCTTTCCATCAGGGGCAACGACGAAGATGAATCCGTCTAACGTCTGGAGTAGATGAGAGCCCAGCTCTCGTATTGATAGCTCACGAGGCTGGGGTGGAGGGGGCGCTGCGCCCCACGCGTCTCCTAGACCTTCGGGAAAGGATAACCGATAGTTCTTAATCTATTTTCCCATGATGGAATGGAACCACGATGGATGAAAATAGAATTTAAGAATTTATAGAGAATGTAAAACAACACCCTGCAGTATGATGATAGCCGTTTCGCCAGTTATTCCAATTGACTGGATAAAAAAATGTGTATCTAAAATTTATTGACAATTTTGAAACTGAAACTACAACTGGAAAAAACGTAGCAGGTGAGTAATTTTTAATTTTTATATGTGAAGTGCGTGCCTCAAGAACTAGGTAAAAGTAATGTTTGTTCGTCCGAATCCCTCGCGTACCTGAGTCGAAAGATGACACATCACTAAAAATTTGGTCGTACTTCAGCAGCGCGAAAGCCGCGCGGCTGTAGCGCTTGTAACAGCGGCTAATTTGAACACTTACACTGCCACTTTAAATATCTTGAATATTTCAGAACATTTTTGTTGTCGTTATTTGTTTTGTTTGTGAAATAAACAAATTTTGATTTTGAATTTTTTTAGTAAAAACATAAAGACTTACCGTCTGGAAAGACCTGTCGCATCTTCAAGTAACTAGTAGTTAACCGGATAACAGAAGCTTTATCCAACTGTGATGTGATAGCAGATGGTAGTGGCAGCAGTTTGGCTAGTTCTAGAAATTCAGCGTTCTCCTTCTCGCGTCTTGAGCGCGCTGCATTCTTGCTCTTCTCTTTCATGATGGCCGCCGCGTCGAGGGTATGCGGCCGCGGTTCCTTGCGGCAAGCTGCAGGAACAAATTTCATTAAATTATGTTCCAGAACCGGTAATTAGTAGGTATTTTTTGTAGTCAAAATGAAAAGGTTCTAGACTCTTTGGAATTAAAACCATTTTTTCGTCTCGCAGTTTTTTTTTAGATGAACGTAATTCTTTTGATATTTTTTATTTGAACTCTATGAGTGCTCGAGGAGTATGGACAAATGTCATAAAAATGCAAGATGGCTGATCAAAACCAAGACTGCGTCAGTCTCGTCTTGGTCTTGCATTTGGGCAACACTATTTATTTCCGAATCTACATCAATTAAACACACCATGAACATACAGTGACCGTGTTAGGTTGTTAGATAAAATGAGTATAATATGCGATTTAAATCCGAAAAAATAGTGTCATTTTCAATGTGTAGGAATCGCGAAAACCCTAACTCTATAGTTCTCTCACCCCTTTAGTCAAGAAAAATAATGAGAAAAAAAATTAAAATTCATCAGAACATCGTATTAGCGACGCTAACAATGTCCTAATGCATATTTATAAGACTGAATAAATAAGTGTCTTTGCCTCTTTAGAAACACAATGAGGCTGAAAATTCGCATACATTTGCCCTTTTTTTAAACAACAAGTAGGAAGTACCTATACCACATTTATATATGTCAGATTCGCTCTGGACCTTTTGGAGGGAAAAGTGTCGTTTTTATTTTGACTTTCAATTATTTTGTGAAATTTAGTTTAAAGTGGAATAGGTTAGTGCTATTGTGCCTTAATCGAAGATTAAAACGCGAAATTATACGAATCTCGAACTAAAATACCCATATCGGCCCGTTTTAAGGAATCCCGAGTCAATCCAACCACGCCGCCTCAAATTGTCTATCCTCTTTGTGGCGGCCATATTTACAGAAACATAATTAAACTTCATGTTTAGGCTGATGGCTTTGCCAAAGCCTTAATAAATTTAAAAAAAAATTATATATGTCAGAAATACGTATTTATTATGTAATTTTATGGTAGATAAATAATTATATACATATTAAGACAGTTCCGTTATTAAATTGTTATTCTTTCCTTTTGCTCTCTGTTATTCTTTTCGTATCGTTGGCATACACTATACTCAAGCGTGCAGGTGTTAGGGCTCGCCGGGCATGATATGACATGGGCCATCGTTTGAAACGCACCGCACAAACAATCCAGGTCTGACCCATTCGAAAATCCCCACCTGAACAAATTAATTTAAAATACTCCGGTCGACTTGGGTCCGAATTGAAGACTTTTAGATCGACCATGACAATTAGTGTCCAGGAGGAAGACCGTCAGAAAGCGGGACAAAGGTAGATAGTATAGATAGACAGATAGTTTCTTTGTTTAAAATAAAGTTATTTGTAATTGTTTCCAACGGTCCCAACGCTGCTCACGAAAAGATTAAGAAAAAAAAAAGTTTATTATTTTTTACAAAGGGATTGTTACAAGATTCTCATGTTGGTATGATGCACATATGTGATATTAATAAACATGTCACCATCTAGATTAGTCTATTGAAGTGCATGTATAATTAATTATACTTTCAATTATGTTTATATGTCTAATGTTTGCCCGGACAATGATACATGTCATCTTCTATACAATCCCGATATTTCATAAAAATTACATGCGCTTGTTATCCTATATTGACTGACCAGCGACAATAGGAAGTCTAAGAAAAAATCTGTTCATCCTCTTATTAATAATAAGAATAAAAATAATTTCTGAGAGAGAGCAGCAAGGAGAGCAGAGCTGAAAGGGATTGCAGCTAGGCAGCGGCTGAGGCAAACTCTTATTTTTTACTAAAATATACTATAATTTCGCACTAAACAAAAAAATGACTATCAAAAAAATATGTCTAACGTATAAAAAATAAATGAATTCGAATTCTGATTACAAATGTATAAAAAGGTATGTCGCCAACAATATCAAATTAAAAAAAATATTCCGAACATTCATCCTTATGATTACTTTTGATTAAGTATAATTTTTAACAAAGATCTTTGTTTCACTTAGATATGTAAAAGTACTACGCGTAACTATAGTTGTGAATTCCTTAAAGTTATATTTCTACATTTTTATTGAATTGATATTCAATTATTTTTGATGTGCAATTACTCCACTAGTTTGTTATGATTATTAGTACAAAGATCGAACACTCAGAAGAAAATCCATCGATCCGGCCGGATTCGAACCGATGTCTTCTAGCATACCATGCCAGAAAGTTGTCAAGAAAGATAACAGTAATATATTTCAATGCAAAATCTGACAAAACAATTTTTCTTTCACGAAAACTAGCTAAGTCGACACCTGCTATTTGTTGTGGTTCATATTACAAATATAACTTGAAGAAGGGGTGTACTAAAATTACGCATTGTATTTATGTCTCAGGGTGACGGGCGCTGCGGCAGTGCCCTTTAGATTTTTAAGATTCAAAGCTCCGAGTGGCACTGCAACTGCTATGTACAGAGGGCCTACTATGAGCTTATAACCAGCCGGCCAAGTTCCATGCAATTCACTTGACGTGGTAAAACTGAATGGCTTAAATTCGTATCATGACCTACACAAAGTTGAATGGGAATGGCATCACAGGATGATGAGTTTTACTTTTTAAACGTTAATTATTGTGTCTGCTTGGCTAGCTGACATCTAACAAGAGCGAGATGGAACTACATACTAAATCATATGAAAGAAATAGACAGATGTACTAATCCTGGGAGCGTTCAAGCACTATTAACCGATTGTGTTCAAAATGAGAATAATTATATTTTTTTTTTAGTAATTCTATTATTGATTATACTTATTAAGTTGTTTTGTAATATCGCAACTTTTCAATCATACTTTACAATTTGTCGAAAGACTGTTGTCTTACATGTGATGTCTAGTCATTTTCATTAAAATTAATAAGGTGAGTTTGTAATTTGATAACATAACTGGAACGTATCTTGCATTCGTACATTTTCATTGATTGCATTAAACTCAAATTTGGCACTATTTAAGAAGTTATTTTACGATTTTAGGTCAATAAAATTACTAAAACTCCATTTAAAAATTGCAATAACATTCATGCCAATATTTAATATTATCTTTGTTTACTTTATAGATTGGGAACTCGAATTAAAATTCTCAAAACACGCTCAAAATAGTTAATAGTAAGTAATATTGACAATTGGCTATATAGCCTATATAGATAACAAATAATTATAAAACTGAAAATATAATAAAACTTAAACGAAATTTCTTAAAAATGTATCAAAATCTAAAAAAGTTAGTCACGGAGTAACTTTTTTTGAATTGCTTATTTTTACAGATGAGACCGCCATTTGCTTGGCAAATGGGACGTCACGATACAATTTTGCTATGAAAGAAAAGGTGAATGGGTTTCGAATGGGGAACGTTAACTGCATGGACAGTGAATTGTTTTTGTGAGGTCATAGTACGAATTTGACAGGTAATCCAACTTACAGGCTTAAATAGGATTGCTCTAAGAGCTCATAGTAGGCCCCCAGGCGTGTTGCTTACAACCAGGCGCACGACTTGTTCGTTCAGTTACTTGGTATCATAAAAAAAACTAATAAAGTAAAGGTCCCAAACCGCTTGATGGCATTAACCTACTAATGTAATTCCATCGGGTATATAACCAGAAGTAGAGGCGAAATAAGGGCCCTTACTTCGCCATTTCCTCTATCCACGGAAGATTTATGTGGTTTGTGGGGCCATCCATCCCTTTCAACTCATTAGGCAAATGAGCCTTATATTACTTTTAAATATCAACTCTCGTTTGCGCTGAAATCACACATTAGAAAGCTGAAATAGTACAGCGCCACCAACTGACCTGTGGGTACGTCTCCGTATATTACAAAAATATTCAGTATTTATTGTAATAAAGATAATATCTCTAACAATGGGAGGTTGTTCCATTCGGTGGTGTGGGATAACTAGCAAAACATCTACTTACAAACAAACGGAATCACATTTCATTGGTAATTAAATATGAAATTTGTAATTTTTCTATTTTCGTCCATTATAGCTAAGCTCAAGTTGAACTGGTCGAATTGAAGTGAAACAATTGACGACACCCGTTAATTGTTTCGAATTCGGGCTGGCCAATCGGAGCGCAGTTGTCACCGTAATGTATTTTGCAGAATAATTTTCAAACAAAAAAATGACATTTCGTCTCTATTTCTGGTTATATACTCGAATTCTAAAATATTTGACAATAGAATTACATGAAACATACAACACTTTTATTTTTTTATATATATTGTAATTCTCCTATTTAAACCGGCTCATTTCGGAAAGCCGTTGTTCTTCAGAAGTCACAACTAGTGACGAGAAAAACCGCTAAACGACTTTGTGAGCTTTTTGCTTAGAGGATGGAAAATAGTCTATTAAATTTGCATATTTATATTTGCAATGACGTGTTTAAAAATAAAAGAGAAATTCTCAATAATAATGACATTCTTCATCTACTATATGTAGAAAAAAAATATCGTATTTTTTCGTAAGCAGTGATCGCCTTCTATGTAAATTTAAATAATTTATATTATGAAAAACACTTCACGACGATGAAAATGGGTCACTTCAATAAATCTTCACGGTATTCACATCGTACTTTTTTTTGTTTATTATTAATTATCTATTAATAGACAAAAAAATATAAGCTTGAGAAGAAAAACAGCTGTGAACAGCAAAAGCTCAAATACGACAACCTGAGCCGTAGCTACAGCTTATTTCCTTTTGCTGATATGACTCTGGGAACCACAAGCGTGATACTCAGGCAAGATGTTTTTAGTTTGCCTCGTCGAAGTCTCCCGTGACCTAAAAGCTGGTAGCTACTTCCCAAAAAGATTGGCTATATCAAAAATATATTACGCTTATTTCCATTTTTAAATGCCATGATTAGTAGAAATTAGAAAATCAACAATTCATTAAATAATATTGTTGTCATTAAATTACATATCAAATATCATTTTCCGTC